ATCCTGCTTTGGATTCTCTGTCTCCTTCTCTCTCTGCCCCTACCCCACTTGTGCTCTGTCTCTCTCCATCTCTCAAAAATAAATAAATGTAAAAAAAAAGTAAAAAAAAAAGAAATGCATACAAGCAAAATAAAGAAAATATATATCAATTGTACTTCATCAAAACTAAAAACTTTGAACCATATCCCCAGCAAAATATTAGCAAATCGAATCCAACAATGTGTAAAAAAATATATACGCCACGACCAAGTGGGGTTTATCTCAGGTATACAAGCATGGTTCAACATTTAAAAATCAATTAAGGTAATCCATTACATCATAGGTTCATACAGATCACACCATAGGTTCATACAAATCACATCATATCAATACATACAGAAAAAGCATTTGACAAATCCGACACCAACTCATAATGAAAACTCTTAGTAAGCTAGGACGAGAGGGGAATTTTCTCAACTTGATAAAGAATATTTTAAAAAAAAAAACAGGGTGCCTGGCTGGCTCAGTCAGTGGAGCATGTGACTCTTGATCTCAGGGTTGTGAGCTCGAGCCCCATGTTTGGTATAAAGATTACTTAAAAATTTTTTTTTAATCTTTTAAAAAGAAAAGAATAGCTACAAATCTACTGCTAATATCATACTTAGTAGGGAATTCTCGAACCTTCCCCACTAGGCGAAAAGACAATCCAATAAGAGACTAGTATCCAGAATATTTAAAGAACTGTTACAACTCAACTATAAAAAAACAATAACCCAATTAAAAATGGGAAAAGAATCTGAATAGACATTTCTCCAAAGAAAAAAATATACTCAATATATACATGAAAAGATGTTCAACATCATTACTCATTAAGAAAATACAAATCAAAACCAAAATGGCATACTAGGATGTTATATCCCATCAGGATGACTATATCTAAAAAAAAAAAAAAAGAGGAAGAACATGAGGGGCACTCAGTTGGTTAAGCATATGGCTCTTGGTTTCAGCTCAGGTCATGGTCTCATGGTTCCTAGGATCGAGCCCCATATCAGTCTCTGTACTGATAGCACAGAGCCTGCTTGGGATTCTCTCCCTCTCCTTCTCTGCCCCTCCCCCGCTCACATGAGTGCTCTCTCTCTCTCAAAACAAATAAATAAACTTTAAAAAAAAAGGAACATGAACAATAACAAGTATTGGAGAGGATGTGGAGAAATTGGAACTCTCATGCATTGATGATACGAGTGTAAAATAGTGCAGCTGCCTTGGAAAACATTCCAGCAGTTCCTCAGGAAGTTTAAACACAGAGTTACCATATGACCCGGAAATTCCACCCCTTGGTTATATATCCAAAAGAACCTAAAACATATGTCCATACAAAACCTCATACACAAATGTTCATACGAGCATTATTCATAAGAGCCAATAAGTGGAAAGAATCCAAACATCCATCAATTCGTGAATACATAAACTAAATACAGTATATCTATACAACAGGATATTATTCAGCCATAAAATGGATTAAAGTACTTATATATGCTACCACCTGGAGAACCTTGAAAGCATTATGGTAAATGAAGAAGTCTAACACAGAGGGCCACATATTGTGTGATTCGGTGTATATGAAATGTCCAGAATAGACAAATCCATAGATATAGAAAGTAGATTAGCAGTTGCCAGGGTCTGGGAGGAGGGAGAAATGGGGAATGACTGCCTCATGGGTACAAGGTTTTTTGAGGGGGTGATGTAAATGTTCTGGAATTAGATAGTGGTGATGGTTGCATAACTTTGTGAATATTCTAAAAACCACTGAAATGTGCACTTTTAAAGAGTAGGCGAGCTATATCTCAATAAAAAAAAAAAAACCTAAAAGTTCTAAGAGAAAACATAAAAGACTTTCCTGAACTTGGGTTAAGCAAATATTTCTCAGACGTGGCACTAAACGCACAGTCCATACAAGAAAACAAGTTGATAAATTGAATTTCATCAAAATTAACATTTTGCTCTATGAAAGACACTGCTAAGAAAATAAAATAACAAGCCATATACTTGGAGAAACTCTTTGTAAAACATATATCTGATAAAAGGTTTGTGTCCGGAATACACAACAGATCTAAAAACTCAACAATGCAAACAACCAGTTTTTTAAATGGGTTAATGATTCGAGCTGACACTTCAACAAAGAAAACAGTTGGAAAATGAATACTACATGAGAAGATGCTCAACATAATTAGTCATCAAAGAAATGCAAATTTAAAACCACAGTGAGGTACCACTAAAAGTCTATTAGAATGTCTAAAATTCAAAGATGGCCATACAAGTGTTGGCGAGGATGTGGAACAACTGAACCTTCCATGGTTCAACCATTTAGAAAAACTGGCAGGTTTTTTTTTTTTTAAGTAAACCTATTTCCTGCCATATTCCAAGGTATTTACCCAAATGAAAAGACAGAACAAGTCCATAAAAGACATGTATAAGAATGCTTATAGCAACTTTACTTGTAATAGCCCCAAACTGAAACAACCCACACGCCCTTTATTAGCAGCATGGAGAAACAAATGGTGGTACATCCATACAATGGAGTATTACTCAACAGTAAAAAGGAATGAACTACTATACGTACAACAATATGGATGAACCTCAGAATAATTATGCTAGGGGAAAGAAAGTGAAAGAATTATGTGTGTAAAAAAAAGAGTACATTTTGTATGATTCCATTATATAAAATTTTAGAAAATGCAAACCAATCTATAGTGGCAGGGAACAGATGAGTGGTCTCAAGAGTTAAAGAGTGAAGAGGCAAGAAAGGGTAGGAAGGAGGGAGTACAAAGGGTCACAGGGAACTTCTGGGGGTGACAGGTATGTTCGCTATCTTGATTGTGGCAACAGCTTCATAAATATGTTTAAAACTCATAAAATTTGTGAACTTAATTATGTGCTGTTTATTGTATGCCAATTATACCTCAATAAAGCTTGAGAGAGAAAACGCTCAAGAGGGAAGATATAACTTTTTATTACAATATCATACGAAGTAGAAAAAGTCCCACTTTGATTCCACCCCACAAGACATTTAGTGTTTTTGGATGGAATGATTCTAGAAGGCCTAGACGGCTGAGCCCTCCCTCAGATCCTTGAAGCAAACTCTTCCTTTATTACAACACCTTCACCTTACTGCCTGATGAATGTCAATGCATCTTTCAAGCCCTGCTCAACTTCATCTACCCCTTGAAGCTCTCCTTGTCTTTTCCAAGCAGAGTTAGTCTGTGGCCCAGTCTGTGCTCTCCCATCACCTGAGACTCTAGTAATATACCCCCTCAGCATTCTAAGATGAAGATTTGTGGTTAACGGTTCCCAAAGGATCCCAGAGGTCCACAACTTAACGTGATTTGTCATTTTCCCAAGGCACAAACTTGATTCCAGCCAGCTATGAGGTCCCCACAGAAGAGGAATAGCTGAGACAATGAGTAAGCCCGGCCACCACCCACCTCCAGGCCTTCCGAGCCCAGCCCAGTTTGGTTGGCCTCTCCTTGTTATAAAAACTATTTTTTCCCTTTGTGAAGAATGGACTGCCCAAAGAAAAGCTATCAGCTTGTGATGGAAATGATGAGTGAGTGAAGCAGTCCAAGAAAGGGATGGTTCTTAGCCAGAAAATAGCTTTATAAATTACTTTAATCTTTTATTAAGAATCTGGAAGCATCACTTAAAAATCTTAGTTGTACTTTACAGCATTTTATGGGGAGAAGTTATATACAACAGTGGCATTAACAGGATTGGAAATTTGAAAAAGCTTTGGGCCTTGCCCCTCAATAATGTCAAAAGCTCCCAGTAGTTCTAGTGAATACTCATCACATCGCATTATAATTGTACATTTAGCCATCTCTCCTTTTGTCTAAGAAGCACAGTAGTAGAGCTAGATTTTCTGGGCCCAGATCTCAGTTTACTTTATAGCTGGGTGACCTTGACCAGCTTGCCTGACCTCCGTGTGCCTCAACTTCCTCATCTTTAAAATGACAGGTAAAATAGTACCTGTCTAATAGAGTTAATTTAAATGATTAAATATGGTAATACATAAAAAGCACTTAAATCAGTGTCTGACCCATCCAAAGTGCTTGATAAATGTTAGTAATTAGTTTGAGAGTTTCCTCTAAGGCAGTGTTTACATATTAGGGACCTTTTCAAAACTGCCTCATTCTCCAGTGGCTCGTGCAGTCCTTGGCACAAGGTATGTGCTCAACAGAAGTTAAAAGAATAAGTGAGTGAGTCAGTGAGCAAATGAGGTGTGGCTCTGCCATTTTGTTCCCACAGTTGAGATCTCTTTATTTCTGGTACAGTGGGGGCATTTTGGCACCGCTAATGTGGCCAATATCCCCACCATTACCATGTCTGCCACCACTATCCATTTGCAACCATTGGAGATTACGGTATACCACTAAGAGGGGCAGGAGGGACAGGGAGGATGATGGCAGAGGATCAGAGAGGGCCTGTGTTCCCCCTCTGGCCAACGTGGTAGAGATGAGGACTAGAATCAGACAAAATGTTCAAGAGATATGCAAAGTTGCTTTGGGATTCAGCTAGCACCCTTGCCCCCCTAGAGTTAATTCTCTCTCTCTCTCTTTTTTAATGTTTATTTGTTTTTGAGAGGGAGAGAGAAAGAGAGAGAGAGTATGAGCAGGGGAGGAGCAGAGAGAGTGGGAGAGAGAGAATCCCAATCAGGCTCCACACTGTCAGCACAGAGCCCAACACCCAGCTCCAATTCATGAACTGTAAGATCGTGACCTGAGCCGAAACCAGGAGTCAGACGCTTAACCAGCTGAGCCACACAGGCGCCCCTCTCCTAGAGTGAATTCTCAACACCACACCCACAGTGACCCTGTGAAAACCCCAACTGAATCATGTCACTCCCCTGCACAAAACTCTCCAATTCCTTCTCATCTTACTTGGAAGAAAACTCCAAATTCTCACAATGGCTTACAAGGCCCCACGTGTTCCAACCTGTGTTACTTAACCTGTGTTACATCTCATACCTTGCTCCTTCTTGCACACTCCACTCCAGGCTTCCTGCTGGATACTAGCCTTCTTGCACTACCTCAAACTCCCCCAAGGGAGTCTTTGCACTCGCTGTTCCCTCTGCCTGGTATGCTTTTCCCCAGCAATTCACGGTTCACTCTGTCATCTGTCAGGTCTCAGCTCAGATGCCAGGCTTTCTGTGCCCACCTCTGCAAAACCCCCTGAGAACAGAGACTTTGTTTTATGATTACTCCATCCCCAACATCTCGCCCCTGCCTGCCACATAGTACTCAGTTATTACTTACTGAATGATTAGATGAATAAAACCCCAGGAATCCACTGCTTTCTGCTTCTGTTTCCCTCCCAGGGCCAAGTCCTGCCCAAGGGGAGGCCTCTCCCAGCAGTGAACTGTGTCCTAAAGATGACTCTTACACCCCAGCAGAATAAGTGGATAAAAGTATATTGTTGGAACAAGTGGGAGTTGCTGATTGTATAACAGTCTGTTGGGGAACCTCGGGGGTCCCTGGCTTGACAAAATGAATGTGCATTTGCCAGTGTTTTCAAGAAAAAGTATAAGGTATAAGATGTTTGAAAGACAAAAGTATTGATTACTGTAGTCCCTTAAACAGCTGAAGTAATGGGGGAGGATATGAAATGCAAAGAAAGAAAGAGAAAGGAAAAACCTAAATCTGTGATGACATTCTCCCTGGGGGAGCGCTTAAAAATACACATTTTTACAAGTTTCCTGAGTGATTCTTAAGTAACCAGCTTAGGACAGGTACCTAGAAACGTTTTTTGGAGATTTAGTCAAGTATAAGGCCACACATTACAGCAGGAAAGGCCTGGGCTATGAGAGCCAAGCAGGCATGGGTTCAAATCCTGCCATCGCTACTTTTTATCTGGGGAACTCTCTGCTAGTACTTAACCTCTCAGATTCTAAGGTTCCATTTCTAGTTAGATAAGTACATCTACCCGGTCAGCCTGCTGTGATGATGATGTTAAACAACACGTGTAATGGGCCTGGAGTATAGCAGATACTTAAGAGATGGTAGTTTATTGTTGTGCTCTCTGTTTCCCAAGTGCTTATTACCTCCCTCCCATGTTCCACGGCAAGTTGGCATTCTTAACCCCTCCACTCTATGACCTCACAGAGGTGAAAACATACAGTCAAAAGGGTCAGTTCTTCTGCAAATAAGAAAGTCTTCTTTCCTAAAGGTCCTCTTTCCTCCTCTAGAATAGATCAAGGAACATATTTTTGCCATTAACTACCCCATTAATCATTAACAATAAATTCTTATATTTTTACAGTCTTCAATCTGCCAAGGCTTTCACCTATAAAGCGTGAGAAGGTGGGACAGGCGCCTTTATCACTCACTCGCAGAGGTCTGGAAGTAGCCTGTGTGCGTGGCCAGAGTGCAGGGGCGCCGGGACTTAAAAGCCACAAACCCTGTGCACTCTCCATTAGGCTACATTCCCCACCGTCAAGACCTCAGGACTCAGACCTTGAGGCCAAAGAGGAAAAAGAGGCAGGGGGCATCCATCTCCTGTTGCTTCCTGCTCCTCTAACGAAGCAACGTGGCTGTGGAGTGACGGCTGGAAACTAATGGGTTAGCAGAAGTCCATCTCCCAAGCTTGGCCGCGCATACCCCAAAGACTTCATTCCTCCGAAGAGCCGGTCCCGTCTTGCAGCCGCAAGGCGTCTCTGCCTTCTCATTCCACCTAAAGCTGCCAGCCTTCCGCAACTCCACACCCCCACCTGCTGGAGACTGCCTTGTGCAGAGCCTGACCGGCCACAGGCCACGTTGGACAGCTGCTCCCAGAGAGCCCCCCACGCACCCTTCTGGGGCTGCTTTGGGGGCCAGAACAGGCCAGAACAGGGGGAAGCCCTGCTATTTCTTTCCCTGTCTTACTGTAAATCTTAATCCTTGATAGTGGGTGAACTCGTTGCTCTCTCTGACCTTCAGTTTCTCCCAAGTAGTAACCAGAGGAAGATTCAGCCCTGACTTTCCCCACCCTCCTAGGGTGAAATGGGAGAGAATAATAAGACACCCACTCTGCCAGATGGAAAGAATTGGGGCTTTGGAGAGGACGCAGCTATAAATTTCAGAGCTAGGGGGATAAAAGCAGCAGCATTCCCAGTAAACAAATGGAGAACCAAAGTGAGCAGCTGCAAAAGAGACTTTATTCACGGATTTACACAATTCCTCAGATACATTAATTGAGCACCTACTCTGTGCTTACCAAGTGCTGTGATACATGGATGAAAATTCAGTTGCTGTACTTTGAGTCCTACAAACTGCTCATCACCTTTGCCCTTTCCACCTTCACGTTGCTGTTTTCCTTTTGAATATTTTCCCCTGCGCTCTTAGTAACCCTCATTCCACCATTCGCAAATTCTACATCCACAACACTCTCCAAGAACTTTCCATATATCCTCCTTCTCACAGTAACTAAAACCTGGCCTTACCCCAAGGACATTGGTTCCCTTGCAGCCCTCTTGCATGAAAGTGGCTCTTGCTCCCACGAGTTCCATTTTCCAGCCAAGAAGGGTGCACTTGGAGTCAGCAGTCTCCCACCATCCCTTGCCAGTTCCATGCTATTACTCTTCTACTCTCATTTAAAGTCCTGCTCAAGCTGCATGGCTCATTGCCTTCACCTCTTGCTGCTATCATTGACCCTGGCCCACACCATGCTGAGGACTCTCCCCAGTCACCACTGTATTAACTCCTACCACCATCCTGAGACAAATTGCTGAGGCCAACTCATCTGACACCCTAGCCTCCCCCAACCTTGTCCTGATCACTTCAAATGACTTTTCAAGGCCACAATTGGACCATTACTACCATGGCTCCACCTCCCCCCAAATTACACTCCAACGTCCCACTTGGACCATGACCTTTCCAACTCTATTCTATTCCTCCTACTTCATTCCTTGACCTCACTGAGTGCCAGCACTTTAACCCTTTTATGGCCTCACAGTTTATCTTCTCTCCTCCACTCAACCCCGGGGCTCAATCTTTCAAAACCCACGCTAGACCTCTGGTCAATAACTTGGATGATTTCTCATCAGCTTCTTTAATACCCGTGCTCCCTTTTTCTTCTACTCACAAGTCCTGGAAAACCCTGACCCTGAGTCAGTTCTAAAACTGCCTGCCTTGCTTATAAGGCTGGATTTCTGAGTTCTGGTAGAGAAAATTGTATACTCCAACACAAATTGGTCTTTTGCAAGGTTCATCGAGGGCTATTACAAATCTGCCTCATTCTCCCCAAGCCTTCAGCAGATAGCTTTCCTCCTACTTCATGGAGAAAATCAAAGCCAGGAACTCCCTCAGCTTCTCATCCTCCCTTCCCTCATAAATATAGTCAGATACTCACCATGTATCCTTCCTATGGTCTCCAGGCTCAAAGGATGTCACTCTCCCTGTTCAGAGTCAGCCTATCCACCTGGGTCTGAATTCTCTTCCATGTCCTCTCCATCGCTGACATTTCTATTCCAGTATTTTATTGGTGTATCAGTCAGGATTCACTCAGGAGACAGAAACCACAGCCCAATTTGAACAGGGAAATTGTAATATAAAGAGTTACTAACTATTCCAGGGGATTACCTTCCAAAAAGAAAGAGAGAGCTCTATAAAATATACATTGCCTGATACAGAGACTGTAGGATTTGGCAATGCAGCGAAAGCTAACTAATCTGCACATACATAAAGGCAAGGCAAAAGAGAAAAGTACAAATTGCCAATGTCAGGAATGATAGAAGGAACCACTGCAAATTCTACTCATCTTTAAAGGATACAATTTAAATATCTCACAATTTTGTTTGCCAATTACACTTCAAGAAAGCTGGCCAAAAAAAAGATAGGAAGTGTACAAATTCCTTGAAAGACAAATTACCAAAGCTGTCACAAGAGAAATAGAAAATATGAATAGCCCTTTTATCTATTAAACCAATAGAATTTGGGGGGCACCTGGGTAGCTCAGTCGGTTAAGAGTTCGACTTCAGCTGAGGTCATGATCTCGTGGTTCATGAGTTCCAGCTCCACATCAGGCTCTGTGCTGACAGCTCGAAGCCTAGAGCCTGCTTCGGATTCTGCATCTTCCTCTCTCTCTGCCCCTCCCCCGCTCATGCTCTGTCTGTCTGTCTCTCTCTCTCAAAAATAAACATGAAAAAAAATTTTTTTTAATGTTTTATTTATTTTTGAGAGAGAGAGAGAGACAGAGCACGAGCCGGGGAGGAGCAGAGGGAGAGGGAGACACAGAATCCGAAACAGGCTCCAGGCTCTGAGCTGTCAACACAGAGCCCAACGCAGGGCTCGAACTCACAAACTGTGAGATCATGACCCGAGCCGAAGCTGGACGCTCAACCGACTGAGCCACCCAGGCGCCCCCCCCAAAAATTTTTTTAATCAATTGAATTTTTAATTTAAAAACTTTCTACAAGGAAAACCCCAGGCCAAACAGCTTCACTGATGAATTCTACTTATCACTGAGGGGGAGAAATGATACCAATCATACTCAAATTCTTATAGAAAGTAAAATGGGAAAGAATTATTACCAACTTATTTTATGAAGCCAGTATTACTCTGATATCAAAGCCTGACAAACACATTGCAAGAAAATAAAATTGGCCCAATGTCTCTCATGAATGTTGATGCAAAATCTTCAACAAAATATTAGTACATAGAATACATAAACATATAAAAAGCATTTTTAAGGGGATAATACATCATGATCAAGTGGAGTTTATCTCAGGACTCCAAGACTGATTTAATGATCATTGATCACTGTAATTTACCACATTAAGAGAGTAAAGGAGAAAGAATTATATTATCATCTCAACTGATGCAGAAAAAAACATTTGGTAAAATTCAACATCCATTCCTTGTGAGGCTCTCAGCAAACTAGGAACAGAAGAAACTTTTTTAGCCCCAAAAAAGACATCTACAAAAAGCCTACACCTAGCATCCTACTTAATGATGAAAGACTGAATTCTTTCCCCTCTCAAGATCCAGAACAATGCGAGGTTTGCTTTCTTCACCTCAACTTAACATTGTAACAGAGTTTCTCATACAACAATAAGGCAGGGGGAGGGGTTTGCTAGGGAAAGAGAGAGAACACATGCAGTTTCTGAAGGAAGAAAGAAAACATGCCGTATTTACAGATGACATGATTGTGTGTATAGAAATTCTTCAGGAATCTACCCCCACCATGTGAAAACTAATAAGTGAATACAAAGTCAAATATCAAAAATCAACTGTTTTTCGTAGACTATGAATAAATTATTGAAAAAAAATCTAAACTGTAATGCCATTTGAAATTGCATCAGGACTTCAATACTGATCAAGATGGGGTAACAGGACAGAATGTACTCTCCCACCTGAAACAACTAAAACACCAGACAAAATATATGAAACAACAGCTTTCCGACATTAGACGTCAGGCATTACACACAGTGATCCCTGAAAAAGAGGAAACAAGCAAGATGAGCCCCTATGATAAAACCCAGCCAGAGCCAACAAGTCTCCCTTAGTTTAGGAGATCATTCGGGGAGTCCAAGGAGGCCAAGTCAGCTAGAGTTCACATAGAAGAGCATCAGAGATTAGAGAGCTGCACAGAGAGAGAGAGAGAGAGAGAGAGAGAGAGAGAGAGATCCAGCGATCTGCAAAGGGTCTCCCTCGAGTCTTTGGCTTGATTGCTGATCAGCACATTCAAGTCAGAAAAAATATTTAAAGCTGAAGGGAAAAAAACACCTGAAAGGAGTAAAGGAAAAAATCCTCAGTGTTTGCCTACCAGCCAAAGTTGAAAACCTCATAATTTATAGGTTACCAGATAGAGTATTCAGAAGGATATTCAGTAGTGGGCAGTTAGCCTTAGACGATAAGCAGTTCTGGCCATCCCTAACAAAGTGAACCTCAAAAGGACCAGTATCCAAGTAACTTAACTATGTCCCAGAATAATACTTAAGTATATTTATGGGAATAGAGAAATACCCAGCACCCAACAAAGTAAAAATACATAATGTCTAGAATCCAATAAAAACTCACAAGACAAAAAGCAAACAACAACAACCACAC